CACGGAAAGCAGAGTCCCACACAGTCTAAAAATATATAACCACAGAGGAAAAGGGGTCCAAAGTGAACAGCTTGCAACAGAATTTATTTTTTCAAGGCCCGTCAGTTGATTCTTCAAGAGTTATTTTTCCTCCTTTAATGGAGACACGAACTATTTCTGCCTGGCTGTTCCTTTAGAAATAACTCGACCTTCAGCTTGGGTAAAGCTGGAATGCTAGGAATGCCGCTCCTTATCTCATTTGGTCATAAATTTGCACACAATCACTTGTTCTTCATTTAATGAGGTTTTTCATAGAACAAGGGCTTCCACTTACTTTGATGTATACTTTCGCCGTGCTTCTGTTTTCTTATTCTCAGCGAACGGAGCTGTCTTTGGCTAGTTGCCAAAAATGGCGCCCATCTTCGTCTGTGCTGATGTGAATTTCCAGAAGAAAGACAAATCGAGTTGCTGCCCAATCTTCTAACTTCTGTGGCTCACCAGCTGCTGCAGAAGGGTCTCTCCTGACTCTTCCTTGCCCCCCCCATTTCTGGAAGGGTCCCAGACCGAAGTGGTTCTAGCTTTCCCCGGGAGCTATTCCCGAGAGCTGCTAGCTTCACCAAGACGAAGCTCCTCCTCCAACTCTTCTGATTCCTCAGTGAAAAGCAGTTGTTCTTCTTCGGGCACTTTAGGAAGTTCTACTTTCAGTTCCAGCTCCAAGCCCACTAGAAGAGGAACAGTGGTGGCTAATCTACTGAAGGGCTTCTTCTCCTATGAGACCCCAATGCCCTTCATTTTCAGGTGCTGTAACTCCTACTTTCTAAAGCCCAGGCACACTTGAATTTTAGAAATAAAGGGTAGGGGGCTTGCTCAAAATAAAAAGAGGAAACATTAACTGAGCTGATCTAAGAGAGGGTAGTAATAAAACAATATTTTTTTAAAAGAAGAGAGATCACCCACCCTCCTCTTATGAACACCTCCAAAAATAACTGGAAAAAAAATACCAGCCTAAAGAAAGTCCTCCTCAAAGTCCCACTAATTGAAATAATGAAAGAAAGTTATGCTTTGCACACTGCAACTGTGAACTGTTGCCTGCCTCAAGAGAGCACACGGAAAGCAGCAGCAACCACTCAACGAAAACTCAGAGTATAAATGGAAAATGTCTGCAAGGAAGCTGCTTATAAGGGGCCTTTACAAGCAACTTCCCCCAAGCCCTCTGAGCCGCATTTTGCTGCCTGGCCTGCCAATCCAGGAGTTTCTATGTCTCTCCCAGAATCATTAGAGATTCCTGACTGACAAGAGCAGGCTGCAGATGGATGGAGGAAAGGCCCTCAAATGAGTAAACAAAATGACAAATCAGAAATCGTTAAAAATTTGTCACTTCGTATTTGTCAGGATTGTTGCATCTAACCAATACAAAATGATGAATATGTGATGAATTAGCAATTTTTGACAAAATTTTCAATTTGTCTTTTAATCTGTGCTCATCTCTAGAATGGACCACCTCTATAAAAGCTAAAGTTTTAGTAGTTTGCTGGTCTCAAGCATTCAGGTTTGTATTAACACAATGTCAAGGAGGAAACACATCAGCTGTGATTGTCACTGCCCCATCAATTTAAAGTCCATCATTCTACAGTGAGGAAGATTATTCACAAGTGGAAAACATTCAAGACAGCTGCCAATCTTCCCAGGAGTGGACGTCCAAGCAAATTCACGCCAAGGTCAATCCACAAGATTTCTGGAACAATGTCCAAAGTGGAGACCAAAGTAGAGATGTTTGGGCATAAGGCACAGCACCGTATTTGGTGAAAAACAAACACAACATATCAGCAAAAACACCTCATACCAACTGTCAAGAACAGTGGTGGAGCTGCGATGATCTGGGCTTGTTTTGAAGCCACAGGATCTGGGCACCTTGCAGTCATTAAGTTGATAATGAACCCCTCTGTATACTGAAGTATTCTAGAATCAAATGTGAGAACATCTGTCTGATAGCTAAAGCTTGTCCAAAATTGAGTCATGCAGCAAGATTCATCCCAAGCACACCAGCAAATCTACAACAGAATGGCTGAAAAAGAAACAAAAAATCAAGGTGTTGCAATGGCCAGTTAAAGTCCAGACCTCAACCTGACTGAAATGCTGTGGTGGGTCCTTAAGAGTGTTGTGCATAAACAAATGCTCCCAAACGTCAATGAACTGAAGCAACATTTTAAAGAGGAGGGAGCTAAATTTCTCTACAACAATGTGAGAGATGGACGAAGTCAAACAGAAAACTATTACTTCAAGTTATTGTTGCTAAAGGTGGTTCTATAAGATATTGAATCATAAGGTATGTATACTGAGTTTTCATATGTCTTCTTTTTGGTTTTATTTTTGTTAAATAAATCATGACGCAATGTAGTATATCATGTGTTGTTGTTCATCTGAGGTTGTATTCACCTAATTTTAAGACCTGCTAAGAACCAGATGATTTTTATTATGTCCTGATACATAAAACCATAGAATCCAAAGAGGGTGTACTTTCTTTTTCACTTGACTGTACACAAGACATTCAGAATATTATCAAAATACATACACCCCTTTAGACCTTTCATATCCATCACTTCCAGATCCTATACTTCAAAATAATTACTTCTAATGCGATCGACACTAACTTTTGCAGAAAACAAAGAGTAGCTCTGTTGCACTTATTAGTATCTCAGAAGTTAAAGAAGATGTATGTCAGAACTGAATACTTTAAAAAAGCCAAATACATTAACTGCAGGTTTAGGATTGCACACTGATAAAAAAATGAACAAGTTTATTTTAAACATATAAAACTGTATTTCACAGAGTCAGACAACTCATCTAACTCAGTACAGAACTAGTCACACACAGAGATTATTGACTAAATCATCAACTCTATCTCCATCATGAACTCACTCGGTTGACTTCAGACTTACACATATCCTTCATTTTAAATTTTAGCATTTCTTTATAGATGGGGTTATTTAGTATTTCTTACAAGGCAAAATTATAACTGTTAATCTTAGTGAGTTTATTGTATGAATTATTTACAAATATGGAGGAGGTTGAGATTCACATGCTCTCTCGGACTCTCAAACACTCTAAATCCCTGACTCGCTGGTTCTTGACAAACTACAATTTACCACTGGACCTGAAATAGGCAAGCAACAGATTGATGAAAACTAAAAACACAACAAAATGAAGCAACAATAAACTTCAAAACATGGCTCCCCATTCTGATTTTAAATGCTCTATGGTACACAAAAACCATTTCTTCTCCTGTTTAGATATAACAGCAAACTGATTTGGCGTGAAACAGGAATCCAGGAAAGAACAAGGGCATGCAGCACGGCCATGATAAACAACTGGGTAATTTATGTAAACACTTTGGAGATTGTAAGAAGTGTTCTTATGATGAAGACTTTCAATTCGCAAAATATTTTCATACCTCATGTTCCAGATAAGATTTAAGAGATTCTGTCTCATTTAACAGAGTAACGCTGCATTTGCCTCTAAAAAAATAAAGAAATTGCATGTTGAGAAATTGCACAGTGTGTCTTTTAAAACTTCAAACATAAAAATAAGGGTTAAACAATACCCTGTATAATTATTTAGTCTATACCGAATATGAGTAGCTGGTAAGGATTCCAACTGCCGTGAAAGGAACAGTTCACGATGACGCAGCTGATGTTTCTGTTTCTCTGGTAAATCGACCATTTCTGGGTTTTCCATTTCTTCTTCCATTTCTCCTGATTGAACAAAAATCATTATTAACCTCTGAGGATAGGATAATTAACGTTTCTTGACATTGTCAGATGTCAGTATGAAACAACTACAATCAACTAAAAAAGTGCAATACTACATTATAATTCCTTAATTAATAACCTTAATTACTTAGTATAAAAACTGATCAACTTTATAGTTCAAAACTACAGTCCATGTATGTTGTTTTAGGTAAGGAATAGACATGGGGTATTCACATCCCTAGGAATACAAATAGCAGCACCACAGGTGCCACGGAGGCCCATTCCCTCTCCCCAGAACCGGCTGGCCCACTCACTGTTCACAGCACAACATTCCACTCTATTGTCGTCATCATCACGCCAGTTGCAGAAGGAGCCCAGCCAGCTCTTCTCTGGCTCCCCATGCAGCCAACCATTATGGTGTGGAGGCATGACGGGGAGTCTTCCCACTCAGCTGATAAGTGGTTGGCTGCACAGGGAGCTGGGGAAGAGCTGGCCAGGCTCCTTCCATGACTGGTGCAATGACAGCAACAACAGAGCCAAGCGCTGTGCTACAAATGGCGAGTGGATTAGCTGGTCCTTGGGGAGAGGTGGGCCCCTGTGGCCCCTGTGATGCCGCTATTCATATTCATAGAGATACGAATACAAATAGCTCATGTCTACTCTGGAGTCATGGTTTGAAGTGTGTGGAGCTTGCAAGCTTGGCCCAATGTTTCCATAGTCTCTTTCATCAAGGAAATATGAGTATCTGAAGAGGGGGAGGCTACTGGATCCATACAGTCTCTCCACATCAGCACAAACACCCAAAAATCAGGGATTCAAGTAAGGTATTAGATTTACAGCAAAATTTGACAAATACTTTAAGGCTTGCAGATTTCAAGATGGATGCAAATAATTAAGTTACCATATTTTTCCATGTATAACACTTTCCTAACCCGAAATTAAGAAATCTAAATGGTGCTTAGCAAATGTAGAGTAAAAAGGATCAAAGTGCTGCAGGATGGCTTTGATCCCTGCTTTCTCTCTTTGTGCTAAGCTCTGCGTGGCTTAGCAAAAGGAAGGGGAAAGGGATCAAAGCAATTCCATGACTGCACAATTATTTTGATCCCTTTCCCCCTTATGCAGCCATGGGATTGCTTTGATCCTTCCCCCTCCTTTTGCTAAGCCCCACGGGACTTAGCAAGCAGAGGGGAAAGCGGGGATCAAAGAGATCCTGCAGCACTTTGATCGCTGCTTTCTTTTTGCTAAGGATTAGCAAGTGGAGGGGAAAGCAGGGATCAAAGCCCTGCAGGATCACTTTGATCCCTGCTTTCGCCTCCACTTCTTTTTTTTCTCCTCAGCTTACGTCCATGTATAAGATGACCCTCAATTTTTAGTCTAAAGATTTTAGACAAAAGTATAGTCTTACACATGGAAAAATACAGTAGTATCTTCCCAGAACATTATTGTTCTTGCTATGAGGACCACAATCAGAATCAACTGCCCTATATACTGCATAGCATAGTTTGATACCTTCTGTATGGAGGGGGTACATTAGGAGGCACATTGCCAGTACTTCAGGAATTCAATCTTGTCTTACACAACCATAATCACTACCTATCTCAGAGTTACAGGGAGTGTGTAGCACAAAACAACTAGCAATGACAGTGCATTCATGTAAGCAGGAGAGTGAGAACACAGCAGCTAGCACTGTTACTAGAGACAGTACAGCATGCTGTGCTTTTTCTGAAGCATAGAGAAATTACTAGAACTTGATCGTGAACAATTACTAGCCATCACCAGACTGCCTGTAAAGTGGGGTACTGAGTATTCAATCTTGCAAGGTGCCAGATGGCAGCACTTGCTTGCAGTCACCAAAGTGAATGTGGACTCCTTATAGGTGTCTGCCTATACAGTATCATGGACACAGCTGTTCGAGAGACTCTGAGGCCATGTTGCCAAGTTTAGAGCAATAAGAAATCACCCAGTTTTCTGCTCCAGCTCACCTTAACATCTATCTATCTATCCATCTATCTATCCATCCATCCATCTATCCATCTCACTGCCCAGTAAGTGAATTCACCCTACTCTGAGCAATGTACAAACAAAAAAATCCTACAATCTCCACCCACTTACTCCCGTAGAAACATAGTAAAATTGTGATATAATAGACTCGAATGCAGTAATCTACAAAAAAGGTAAAAGTAAAGGTTCCCCTTGACAATTTTTGTCCAGTTGTGTTCGACTCTAGGGGGCGGTGCTCATCCCCGTTTCCAAGCCATAGAGCCAGCGTTTGTCCGAAGACAATCTTCCGTGGTCACATGGCCAGTGCGACTTAGACACAGAACGCTGTTACCTTCCCACCTAGGTGGTCCCTATTTATCTACTTGCATTAGCATGCTTTCGAACCGCTAGGTTGGCGGGAGCTGGGACAAGCAACGGGCGCTCACTCCATTGCGTGGTTTCGATCTTACGACTGCTGATCTTCTGACCCTGCAGCACAGGCTTCTGTGCTTTTACCCACAGCGCCACCACGTCCCTTAATCTACAAAAACCTGAGGTTCAAACATTAAAATTAACATCATCTGAGGGCAAGATGTACTTAAAGGCTGTCATATATAACTCTATCTTGAGTAATTTCTTGACTATTGACAGAGACTGGCACACCTCAATTAGCAATTTATTTCACAAAGTGAGGGCTAATACTGAGATACCATTTGATAATGGAGACAGGAACCATCAGATTATAATAAGAAAGCTGTCAGGATCACGACTAACCATTATCTTGTCAAGGTGAAGGCTGCTAGATGACCACACTTCGCTGACCAGATAATCAAAGTAGCTAGGCCTGTAACAACTGAATGGGCTACAGTGATAATTAATGGGTCTCACAAGGAGGGCAAGGTTCCTCTTGCCCTCAAGGAGACACTCATTAGGCCCATAAGAAAGAAACCAAATTTGGCGGTGGACGATATTGGCAATTATAGGTCCGTCGCCAATGTTTCTTTTCCTAGTAAAGTGGTCGAGAGGGTGATGGCTGATCAGCTTCAGGCTCTTTTGGATGAAACCAATGCCCTGGATCCATTCCAGTCGGGCTTCAGGCTGCACCACGGCACAGAAACGGCACTGGTCACACTGTTGGATGACCTGTTGAGGGAGGCTGACAGGGGCAAAGTGTCCTTGTTGGTTCTTCTTGATATCTCAGCGGCCTTCGATACTGTTGACCACAGTATCATCCTGGGGAGGCTCTCCGAGTTCGGAATCGTTGGCCTGGCGCTTGTGTGGCTCTGATCCTACTTGGACCATCCTCAGAGAGTTCAGCTTGGGGAGAGTGTCTCGGCCCCGTGGAGTCTCAATTGTGGGGTTCGGTAGGGCTCGATCATCTCCCCAATGCTGTTTAATATCTATATGAGGCCGCTGGGTGGGGTCATCAACGGGTGTGGGGCTTCGTGCCATCAATTTACTGATGACACACAGCTCTAAATCTCCTTTTCACCTACTTCAGTGGATGCCATTCTGTCCCTTCAGCGTTGCCTGGAGGCCGTACTGCAATGGATGCAGGGGAATGGGCTGAGGATGAACCCAGGCAAGATGGAGGTCCTGAAGGTGGGTGGCCCCTCCCACTGGCAGCCTGGGAAACTCTCTCACTTTTGGGGGGTGACTCTCGCCACGAAGAGTGAGGTTCGCAGCTTGGGAGTACGCCTGGACCCGGCACTCACCATGGAAACCTAGGTGGCATCAGTGGTCCGCTCCGCCAATTACCATCTGTGGCAGATTGCCCAGCTGTGTCCCTATCTTGATGGTGGGGCCCTCACCACTCTGGTCCATGCGCTTGTAACCTCGAGATTAGACCACTGTAATGCGCTCTACGTGGGGCTACCTTTGAGATTAATGCGGAAGCTTCAAATGGTGCAGAATGAGGCAGCCAGATTACTTAGTGGAGCAAGAAAATTCCAGCATATCTCTCCCATTCTGGCTGCTTTGTATTGGCTGCCCATTCGTTTCCACATTGACTTCAAAGTGTTAATGATGATTTATAAGGCCCTAAACTGTTTAGGACCTCAATACCTGGCAGAACACCTTCTCCCACCTAGAGCTACTTGAGTCACTTGCCAGAGCCAGGAAAGACAGCTGAGGGGGCTGATGCCAAGAGAGGCCCAAAAAGAAAGAACAAGAAATCGGGCTTTCTCGGGGGTGGTCCCTCGACTTTGGAACAGCTTGCCGCCAGAGATCTGCCTGGCACCCTCCCTGGGTGTCTTTAAGAGTTAATTAAAAACTTGGCTCTAAAATTTAGGCAGGCCTTCCTTCCTGCCAATTCTTGATTGTATTTTCTTGCTTTGTTGTTTATTCTCCTATCTCGATCATATTATTATTGTAGTTTTTAATTGTTGTTTTTATTTGTTTGATGATGTGAGCCACCCTGAGTAGACTTTTGTCTAGAAGGGCGGGATATAAATCCAATAATAAATAAATAAATAAATACGTTATAAAGAGATGGAGCTAATATTTTCCTTCCTCATCTATTCTTTTCTCTCTCAGTCCTTCTATTCCTGCCTGTTCCCCACCTTAGATACGACAAGTCTTTTCTTCACTTAACTACATCACAGTTATCTGTTCATAAATTTCCTACAATGTCTATTTATAAAAAACAGCACTAAGTTGAAGCAAACTTTTCCAACCAAAAGTTAGGGACCTCAACCACTCATGGGGCTTTTCGATTTTCTGTCTTTTCCAATGCTTTATATGCATTCCTTTCTTTTATTTCAAAAAGGATGACATGTAGAATACACAAGCTATAGGCTTCATGTTCACATTGGAACTACAGTTGTCAAGCTTTGATACTTTCTCTGTTTAACGGTGTTAGAACAATTATATGGGGTACAGAAAATGTCTAAAAATTACTTTAAAAGTAAAGTAGTATTAAATGTGTAGCATGAAAATATTGTTTATTACAAGTGTTCTAAAAACAATGAATTGGCTACGGCACTGAAAGAAAACAATTTTTGGCTATCTCATTCTATTCTGCT